GTTGGAGACTTTACTTTCTGTTTACCACTACCATGCTTAACATCAACTTCAGACGTAATTGCACTTTGTGTAGCCTGGTTGATTTGCATTTTCTTTTCCCCCTTTTGCAATTTTACAAATTTCATCAAAATTCGCATTACAATTGGATGGAAACACTACTACATTGTGCTACATTTTTAGGATAATTTCAGCGCTTCACCATGGTGATTTTTAGTCTGCATGTATTTTCATGCACATGAGCACAAGTTCTGTGGATGAAAAAAGTTTGTAAAAAGGTCTGCCTGACCACAAAGTAAAGTACTGAAAATAATTAGAATATGGTGTACACAAATTAGCTTTTATTCAGGTGGGCTTATTTTACGTCTAGTGCCTCTTGATGTTGGCCTCATCCACAACAGTGTTTGTTGCCCTGTTTCATTGCCGTTATGCTCTATGCTTTGACAAACTGGGAGTGTGTTACATTATTCACTGGCTGGACAGAAGTGCATCAACTCTACTTTAAAAATTTAATTACCCCTAAAGCATCAAAACTTGCAGAATGTTAAACCTCACAATAGTACAATATAAAAAAATTGCAGTATAAAGATTTGAATATTTGTGTTCTTTACTTGCACACAAAGTTCATTAATTATTTCTTGTCTTCTTTTTAAGGCTTACGCTGATATTCTGCATGATGCCATGAAGGGGATGCAGGTTGGTCTCCTGATTGCCTGTGACGGTGGTGAACAGGGGGCCATTCCACACGAGGTCTTCGATGTGGCACTTGTGGAGGAGACCATTGTGCTTCACAACATTAAAGATGTGACACTTGGCTTTGCTATGCTTATGGGCGTCATCTACTGTGTCAATCTCAAGTATCCAGATGACATGAAGTATTCGTTTGAGTTTCTTCAGAGAGTGGTGATGAAGATCAGACCAGACCAGGCCTCGGCTCGAGTACATGTTTTCCGAAACAGAATCCTGAGGTACAAACTGTAACATCTGGTATGTTTTCAGTTTTGTTTTCTTACAAAGGAGTTCCTGTAAGAATTTGTTCAGTTTGTTCTATGCACTAAATGTTGAAATACTAATGGTTATGCACAAAAACATTTAGCATTGTGCTGAACTTGTGGAAAAACCTCGCTCTCAGGGTTGCCATTGTGAAATTGTTAAAACACTGGACTTTTTGCACTTTTTGGACTGTTTTTGAGAGACAG